TTGTTTCTAAGAACACAGACCTTGTATCGCTATCGAACTATTGCACATTCCACGTTTACGTTTCATCGTCGAACGATATTTTCACGTTAATGGCGCTTCGTTCGTACCGTTACGTCGTTCCTGTTTCGACTTAACCGTCCAATTATTCATCGCGCAGCAAACAAGGGTACGGCGGGAAAGGGCACGACGAGGGAAGAGAAAGTCCTCGTAAATATAGCAATTACCCAAAGCGTCGGATTGAGACGCTGTTAAACACGAGCAGGCTCACCCGAGGCGATCTGTTAATTAGAGACGCGCGCAAAACACATTTCCATTGAAACAGTAAATTAGGTGTAAATTTTACCGCGGCACCGGCTTGTAAAGAAACGCAACGAGGAGAAATGCCAACGAAAGAACACGAGCAATTTTTCTCTCTCTCTCTCTCTCTCTCTCCCTTCTCTCTTCGTCTTTCCGCGAAGCCGCGGCGCCCGTAACAGTATGGCGACATCGCTCCAACGCGTCGCGATACATCGCGATCGTGAGAATCCGGGCTCCGTTGTTTCTTGAGGCTTCTCGACACCAGCCGGAAGAACACACGAGCTTCCCACGCCTCTGGTAAACCGCTTTATAACGGATCGTCTTGATTTCTCGGCTAGTCAAATGCACTGGTTTCCGTGGCGAACCGAGCCAGCCATCCACGGTTGGCCGTGATCGAAGGAAAATTCGTGTCACGAAACCGCCGCCGATTTCGTGTACGATTTCAAGTACAACGAGGCGGAGGGTGGAAGGCGGCCGCGGAATTTCGCGAAACAGCTAGAAAAACGAGGCTAACCGGCTGCTATATAACCGATAACTAACAGTGTATGTAGTAAAGATATATTTGCATGCGCATTTGTCCCCTCCCCTCGTCTAAAAATACCAAGTAGCACGGTAATTTCGCCTGAGAAAACGCGGCTCGTTACCAGCTACCCTTTAGGCGATCGTTTTTCTTCCGTTTCGAAAGACTTTGTAACGCCTCTCTCTCTCTCTCTCTAAAGAATGAACGCGAACTTTGTAAAGCTGGTTACCGAACGTTACACGCGGTAATGTTAATTCACCTCTCCTTTTCGTCCTTTTGCACGGCCATGCGTGGATGAAAATTGATACGTGTGTTACAGCCGTCTATCCGGGAGGAACATGTGTTCCGTAGCCAGTCGAGCAAATAATAATTTGAAAATATGTCGCCCCATTCTCCGCTTCCTTTCTCTGTCTGTCGCCATTATTATCGCAAACCGAGTCGACAGCTTGGTTGCATTAGCGTCGCGAGGACTCGTAACCGCAAAACCACCGACCAGTCCCAAACACCATTATAAATGCATTAAGTCTCTCTTTCCCTTGGCTTTATCCTCCTCCCCTTTCAGCCATACGTTGCTCGCGTTTTCCCTCATTGTCTCGTTGCGTTGCGAGTCGAAGGAAAATACGTCAAACAGAGAAAAAAAAAAAAAAAAAAAAAGAAAGAAAAGAGGAACGAAAAATTTCCCGATTCTGATTCGAGAGAAGAAACGTCGTTTCCCAGAGTTTCGAGCCGGACGAGTCCCCTTCTCATCGTCTTCGAAAAGTCGACGATCATTAAGCACCGATGGAAGCGATCGTTACACTTTTCTTAACACTTCCCTCCGTGTCCCCCCCCCCCCGGGTTTTACCCTTCGGTTTTATTCGTCGCAAGAACGGCTTCACCGGGAGCCTTTCGACGAACGATAAATCAATGACTCTTGCTCTTTCCGCGGCTACTTCCGACCCTTGCCCCGTCTCGCTCGCTCCCGCGTGGCTATACAATACCGATACAAAGAGCCGGCACGGCAATTAAGGGTGTTTTAGAGTGGCTGCACTCTAAAAATGACCGGCCACCCCTGGCCCAAGGGAGGGGGGGGGGGGTATTAAAAAACATTACTCATCACATAATCGCGCCGAGTGGTTTTCATTGCAGTAACTTGTCGTCTCCGTTCATCCCTCCTCCCCCTACCCTCGTGCTCACCCTTCATTTCTCTCTTTATCTTTCGTATTCTCTCGTGCCTGGTCGTCTCTCCGTCTCGCCAACGTGCCGCACAGCCAGGAAAAATGAGAAATGATCGTGCTCGCTCCGATTCAGCGAGGGCCCTGTTTAAAATTCATGAACGATTTTACTGCTACCTCCCCTATCGTCGAGCATCGCACAAAAGCGCCGAGAGAGCAGGAGGGGAGGGCATATCGAGAGAGAGAAAGTGTGGCCCACATTTTCGAACGGTACGCGTGCAGAGGAAAAGAGAGAGAGAGAGAGAGAGAGAGCAAGTCGCGGATGGCGTGGTGGGAAGCACGCACCCCACGAAATATATTAATTGTCGAATTTTCCGTGCGAACTGCATATCCGTTAGAACTCGCTTTGTCCCTTGCCAGCCACGGATCTCCTGATTATTAATTACCCTTCACAGCGAACTTCGTCCCCCCCCCCTCCCCTCCCCCCGCCCCTTTTGCTCGCTCGCCTACCCTCCCGTGAAATTCGCGGCCTCGTTTCGAAGGCACAACGTTTTTTTTTTCCCTCCCCCCCTCTGCTGTATATTTTTTTCTTTCTTTTTTTTTTAATTTTTATCCCGCGCCTCCGGTTTTTATGGAAAAACGTAACGAATGTCCCTGTTGTCGGCGGTTGCGGGAGGGGGTAGCTCGTTAATTATCGTCCGAAATTCCGCAGCGAATCGTCGGCTTTTAATTGAGAGGATAGCCGACCGGCCGAGATGATTTATCGTCGTGGAGATAATCATGGCGTTTGACGATGCTCGTTCGAGCCACCGGGCTTCTCGTTGCTGCCGAAAAATTCTTTGATATCCCCTCCCTCCCCCCTCGCGAATTGCAAATTTTTCTAATTAACCCCGCGGTATAATTACCACGAACGGATTGACCGAACCATTGGCCGTTTAGGTTACCGGCAGCCATGGATCCATATTAAACGGGAATCGATTACGCGTATAACTGCCGTTAATTATCAACCAGTATGCGCGGCCGCGTCAAATTATTTTTGCGCCGATGGGAAAACTGTTTTTATTAACCGTCGTTCGTGCCGACTAAATTACACGTACGCACGTAGCTCGCACACGCGCTCTCCGGTTGGTTACCGCAACGCCATTTGACTGACAATGTTGATCGCCGTTTTCGTCCGCGTCGCGGGGACATTCCAGCGTCGTGAGCCGCGCGCCGCATTCACGTAATCCATCCAGACAATGCGACATGGCATTACGTTTACGTTAATGATAGAAACGAGTGATACGCTGAAACTCGAGCGAGCGAGAGAGAGAGAGAGAGAGAGAGAGAAAGAGCTAAATCACCACGTGTCGGTTCGGACGCAAGACTGTAATTTACCTCTCCGCTCTTTGATAATTACGCGGCGATCCAACGAGTTGCGTAATTGGTCCAATTGGTGCTCCACTATCGCCACCTTGCGAACGCGCCTTACGTACGTTCCGTTTTCATTATAACGGCCGCACCACCGTATGCAGAAATTTAGAGCTTTTCGAGCTTTATCTGTTACATCAGGTGTGTGTCGAGCTTAATTGTTTTAATATTTTGCTTCAAAATCGCAATACTTTCTCAGTTTTAAGTACATTTAAATATAATCCAGTAAAGTAAGTAATAAATTTGTTACTTCTTGGTAATTTCTATCTAGTGATATTATTCCAGCGCCGAGTTTGAAAAGAGAGCGACGAACTATTGTACACGGTTTGGTCACTCGTTATGATCCGTGAATTAGTTGCCAGCGCAAGGGGTTAAATAACGACGAAGAATTGGCGAGCAGGACGAAATTAGAGCGTCAGCATCACTCCTGCAGGATCAAAGACCATGACACACTGCATGATTTGTAAGGGATTTTATTCATTCAGACAACTCTGCCTTAACCACTTGCCCTGGCAACCGATTGCGGACCATAACGAGTGACCAAACCGTGTACAATAGTTCGTCGCTTTCTCTTTGAACTCGTCGGTACGATATCACTGGATAGAAATTATTGAGAAGTAACAAATTGGGCAATACTTAAATGTACTTAAAACCGAGAGAATATCGAAATTTTAGGTCAAAAAAAAAATTCTCGACGTGCGTGATTCCAGCGCAAGAGGTTAATGGAACGTGTACAGCATGAAATCGTGACCCCTCGCGCACGTTTCTCTCAATCCCTCTCTCTCTCTCTCTCTTTTTTCCAAGTTCATAGCCGGAAACAGTTCCCTATCGCTGTACGGGATCGAGCGAATGCTACCCTTTTATTTTACAAATGATCGCAATTTCCCTCGAGTCATCGTGCCTCGCTTCTACGACTTATGCCTACACGTATACACGCTGCCTCTTCCCACCCATCGCGATAATTCACTATCGCCGCGCAGTTAACTTTTATCGAACCGTGCGCGTTGTCCAACGACAATGGTAACTCGCGTTGGAGAGACACACGGACACATCTTCGGCGAAGAGCTTACGTACCGCGTACGAACCTCGAGCGCGTGGTGGCATGATACGCGATGATTAGGCAGTGAAACTCCACGGGCTATTTGTTAGTATAATAAGCTCGCCAACAGTGTGGCCAACGTAACCACTTGGCGGCACGCCATCCCGTTTTAGCGTAATTGTCCCAGATCGAAGATTTACATACGCGAACAGAGATTGGGAGGCGATCGAAACAGACGGGGAGGAAAAGTGGGTGCAGGGGTGAGTTCGAAGAAACTGTAAAAAGCCGCCAGTGGGATTTCTACTCTGTAAATCGCCTCTGAACGTTTCAGGGGCTGAAAGCTTTCCAAGCTGATTCAATCCAACACTGAACTAACGCACACACTGGTGATCACGAAAGGGTTAAGAATACCGCGAATGAAAAACATAGAAAAACATCTATTTGCTTAGACTCCATTTTTGTTTCCGTTTCGTAAAAAAGAAAAGTAATCTCGATATCGAGGAGTGTAAATAATCGTAAACAAAGTGGAGGAAGAGGGCGCGAGGAAAATTAACACTCTCTCTGTGTGTTCTGTTTTCAGAACGAAGTGGAAGAGGCAGACGATCGTGGGCTTCGAGATAATGGCGGAGAACAATTTCGCGGTGGCAGCGTTCCAGCAGCTGTACGGAAGCGGAGCGGCGGCGGTCCCTGCGCATCCTGCGGCAGGACGATATTGGCCGTATCCGAGCGCACACGCGCTACCAACGAACGGTCTGTTCTATCAGCAAGCCTCGGCGGCTGTCACCTTGCAGAAACCTCTCCCCTACAGACTGTACCCACCGACGATGATACTGGCAGGGCCTAGCAATCCTCTCGGATCTCTGACGGCGAGCTCCAGCCTGTCGAATCTCAGCAATTACTACAGAGACGGGCCGGAAATGGCGGACGGACGGGACAGGGAGAACATCGAGAGATCGTCGAGACAGAGGGACAGAAGCAAAAGCCCGGTGCTCAGCGACAGGTCGCCGTTGATGAAGGAGGAAAGACTGTACGCGCCGACGATGGTGCAGCAACCCGGCTCGAGCAACACCCTTGGAACTCTCACGGCGAGTTCCAGCCTCTCGAATCTGAGCAACTACTACAGAGACAGCCCAGAAGCGGTGGACGGTCGAGAAAGGGAAAGCATGAACAGAGCGTCGAGACAGAGGGACAGGAGCAAGAGTCCCGCGTTGAGAGAGAGGTCGCCAATGTGCAAGGACGACAGGCTCTACTCGGCAACGATGCTCCAAGCGGGGCCTAGTAACAGTATCGGCTCGCTGACCGCCAATTCGGGCCTGTCGAATTTGGGCAGCTACTACAGAGACAGTCCGGACATGGCCGAGGGCAGGGAGAGGGAACACTTGAGCAGGGCGAGCAGGCAGAGGGACAGGAGCACCAGTCGTTCGCCAAAAAGAGAAGACAGCCCGCAGAGCATAAGAGCGGACAGCGACGACGAGAGTATAAACGACATCTAGGGTACAGACATCGTCGTGGAAAGGTTCGACGAATCGAAAGAACCATTGGGATGCAACTACGTCGAGATCGAGGAAGATCGATCGAATTCTCTCGAGGAGGATTGACCCCCTCCCCCCTTGGAAGAAGGTTGGCGCTTCGTCGAAGAGGGAGAGTTTCTTCAACTAGCGAGAAGTCGATGGTACTTGAGCAGCTGAGGTCAGAGATGAGAAATCACGGCGCGACTTGGCCTTTCAAGCCAAGCTACAGTCTGCTACGTAAGTTACGTAAGCGTGTGAAGAAAGATTCTGTCGTCGTTCTGCGTGGAACTGGGTTCTGGCGATGAGCCGAGTTCGATATTGCCACCGGCGACAAGTATCATACGCAAAATGGTCGATCTCGCGATGAAACGGTGGAACGCGGGAAGTGACACGGCACGGGACGTCCGGGATTTCCTAGATAATGAGAACGCGCGCAAAGGAAACGCCGTGCGGTTAACCAAAGTTTCGCGACCCGGACATTCAGCGAACCAACGGCACGTTTGAAACAGTATTCATACTCGATGTAATAATCGTTATACGCCCGGTATAGATCGGGAAAGAACGAATCGGCCAATCGGCGACGTCTCGACAGATTTATCGTACGGTTATGCTCTCGCACGGTCCGGCGATCGTGTACGTCTGTCTATACGTATATGCATGGCTGTCTACGTACGTTCGTATGTTTGTGTGTGTGTGTGTGTGTGTGTGTGTGTTTGTTGCGCGTGCAGACGTTGAAACGCCAAAAGGAAATGATTGTTAATTGGTAGAAACGTCGTTGAACGACTGCGAGGCGGCTGCTTTTCGCCGTGTAAATAAAAACTGTTCACCTGTCCGGGAAAGGGAAGAGGAATAGGTTAGAGAGCCGGCTAGACCCACCATCGAGAGCCAGATCCAGAGGATCGGAGTCGCGCCAGGAAACGAGCCGATCCGCGCACGAACGCGAATCTACAATTAATATGACATTAGGGGGGGACCTGGCCTGCGGGGGAAGAAATCCGAAATGACACGAAATTACACGCGGTCGTTGGACAAAAAATGAAACCGTAGGGAAGAAGAAAACGGTGAGTTTCGGGGAGTATGGTAGGTATGGCATTCAGGGTCCAACAGAGGCTGTCCGAGCGATTCAGCAAGCGGCGAGGATTCCCCTCGATGGATTCCGTTCGTAGCGAGGGAGTTGGCTAATCGATCGTTACTTGGTGAATAAATTCCCGAGCTGTAAATAGATTGGTCTGCAACGTCGGTATAATTTTCGCGGACAATTTAATTGTAAATAGCTACGCAGCCGAGGACGAAGTCGTATCGTGCGCAATAGTGGCCGGTCGAACGCGTCGAAGTCGCGCAGACACTTCTAGGACGTAAGTCGAGAACAACCGTGATCAAACAAGGTATCACGAAGTATTTTTCAGATTTTCAGTATACGTAGAGGAACGCGCGGGACGCGTGTCTGAACCGTCCGGGACCCAGAATCGTTTCGTCGTATCCGAGTGATCCGTAGAAGAAAAGAAAAAAAAAAGAAAGACAGATATTGTTTCAGGCGTTCGAACAGGAAGACAGAGATGAAGTTCGTGACGGTGCAGACACGGTTATCGCGTTGTTCAGCGAAGAAATACCAGTATTACGAATGCATAAAATTAGGCTGTACGATGGCGAGGGCACAGGTGTACGAAGTAAAAAAAAAAAAAAAAAAAAAAAGGAACACTTTAGAGTGGGGAGACGGCGTTTTTTTTTGTTGTTGTAAATCCGTGACGATCGGAGAGAGTCTCGCAGTATCGTGTGACTTAACGTTAAGTTAAATGCAGCAAGAAGTACGTAGTATAAATCATGCTTTGTAAAATAATGTCTGTATAGCGAGAATTATTATATGGAAAATATATTATACTAAATTTAACGCCTCTCTTTCTTCTAAATATCTTCGTTCTAATATGTTCCATACGAACACGTCCTATCCTTCTCCTGGTAATGAGTTCGTTAGTATTCGTAAGGTTGAAGATGTTATCGAGCCGAGCAATGCAGCTCGAGAAGAAGAAACGTTTCGATCGCATTGTCTTTCGCTGTTGCTGCTGTGAAAATTTAATTGAATTCTCGCATTAGCACTTTCTTCGTAAGCTCGCGAAACTTCACGACGACGGAGCCGGAAGCGATCGTAGATAGCGATTGAAATTAACTCGGTCGAGACGGGCTGGAAGACGAAAACGAAAGGAAGAAGGTGTGTCTGCTCTGCCAGTCTCATTCCCTCTCGCGAGCGAATAGCCGCAGCCAGACCATCGCTCGCGAGTTCGTCTCATCGATCCATTTTCACCGCGAGTAACGCGCGCTGGGGCAAGATTGCTCTTTAAAGCGACAGGCTCATGCCTGCCCCTGCTGCCAGTTGTTTTTCACGCGACGATGAATATTTCAAGACACACACTCTCGCGATCGGGTTAATGCCTACGTAGAGATCGCATCCACCTCCTGTGTTTGCTTATTTGCATTCCCATTTGCATACGCACACTTACGTAAATCGTTTGATCGCGTTTCGCATCTCGCGGCTAAACAAGCAAACGACCCAACGACGTATCTCTAATCGCGATAGTTAAATAATGTAACCGAGCTTCGTGCCGAAACTTTCCATCGTGATACTCCCTCCGTGAGAAAATTCGAAACCGAAGCTTTTCGTGCGGTAAGTGGCTCGCGAAAGTGATACCTAAACGTAGACAAATTTCCATATGGCAAAATGGTGCAAATTCTACGTGAGAAAACAAATGGGAAAAGAGGGAACAAAATTTTTTTCACTTGAGGTTTCGCTTTCGAGAAAATCAAGCTCGAAAGTTTTTCATGTGTTACTTGATTTTGACTAATTCTGAATTATTAGCTGGATAAATTAATAATAAATTACTATTAATAAAATAAAATATAAAGTAATAAATTATTATTAATGTTTCAAATAACGTACTTGATTTTGACTAATTCTGAATTTTACTGGAGTTAATAGTCGGCAGAAGATTATTCTATCTGGGGAAAATTTGTTTAAGGTCTTGCTTTTAAGGAAACGTGTACTTGATAAATTTTTAAATTGAATTTTCTCGAAAACAAAGCGTCCCATAAAAAAATATTATTCCACACTTCTGACTTGTTTTCCCTTGTAGAATAATCTCCTATTCGTTATTTGTTTCTAGCCAATCCAGAATTAGCCAAATTTAAGTATAGTATAAATTTATAGTATAAATATTTAAAATTATAGTATAAATATTCAAAATTTCGATTTTCTCAGAAACGAAGCTTTAAATGAAACAATTTTTTTCTCTTTTCGATTTGTTTTTTTGAATCATTCTTGACCTGGTTGTGCCATCATTCATGGAACATCCTATATATCTATATTATGTGTACATAAAAGAATTTCAAACATCATTAAAACTGTAATGGCAAATGATTATTATGATTAAATTGATTTTGAAACGAATCTGGAAATGTATAAAACTTACAAGATATTATATTAAGAACAAGTTAAAAATAGAGTTTGAGCAAATAGATATTAAAGATACTATTGGGATTTACTGAAATAATAGATTCTAGTTGTTTAAATATTTCGGTGCCCTTTTTTGAAATATGCCCGCTTGTATTAATCTTCCAATTTCTATTCGATTTGTTCGACACGATCATAATGATTTCAGCATTAATAAAATGTCATTCATTTCTATACATGTTTAAATACTCTCGTGCGAAATTGTACATAATACACAATCGTACACAAAATCGAAGCTAAATTCCTTGCAGTCCACAATAATTTCCCAAACATAAACTAGCGAGTTTCATTATAATAAAATTTGTACGAAATAACAAAAAGAGAATGAACCTCTTTGGAGTTTCCCGAATTTCACAATTCCAAATAATAACTCGAAACTATTTCATTACGAAGATTGGTAAAGTAATTTATCATAATTTTAAAATTTTTATCTGTACAATTGTAATATTTGTGCGAAACAGCAACGACGCTGTTGCAATATTTGATATTCACACGTAGTCCAAATAAAAAATTCGCTGTGACGAAAGTTTCGTTTCCGATTTCGTGGGAGAATTTCGTGCGTAAAAGACTCGCGGCTAAACTGTCTCGAGGCTGACTCGGTCTCGTCTCCATTACCGGACGAATTTTCGGCACTCGGGCCGTGGCACGGTGTGTAATTTGCTAGGGGCCTTACATCGTCGTCGTCGTCGAAGGTAAAACCCGAGAAGCGTGACAGCGTGCCCGGGGCTTAATCGCGTTTGCTTATTTCCGGCGTTGGTCAGCCGACGCTGCAATTATGTAGGAGCGAGCCGGAGCGCTAACTGCTGCACAAGGGCTTATTTTATTCCTATTAGGGTAAGACGGGTAGCCAGGGCGACGCGTATCCCCGTGTATCCCCAATTACGTGAAATTAATTTGGCTCGCATTAGCGGTGGCCCACTGCTGCCGCGCCAACGATTTTTTTCTTTCTCTCTTTCTCTTTTTTTCTCCCAACTGTTTCCTTTCACTTCCTCTCCCGCTTTCAACGCATATCTTCAACGTTAACCACAACAACGTACATAGGTTCGTTATTCGCGTGTTTGTGCAAACTCGAAAGAAGGCCGCCGACGATTGTTTGATTCGTGAAGCGAGTCCAAGTTTAAGAAACTTGGCTCACATGGACTTATCAGGGTACGAATTGTTGGTCTGATAATTGCAGTTAAATTCTCCTTTCTACTAGTGAGTGTTTTTCGTTCACGCAATAGAAGTATAAATTCAAATAAGTGGATTTCAATCAGCAAGAGTTCGTCGACTAAAATTTCAAACAAATGGAGTTTATATATATGTAAACGGAGTTCTGCTATATGTATATTGTAACCATATCTTTTTCTAGATATACTACATTAACTATATTATTAACTATATTATGTATGTCATTATTGGAATATAATATCATTATTGAAATATCTATATATTATAGTTATACATATATATAATAGTTATAGTATAATTATGTATTATAGTTATACACATATATAATAGTTATATTATAGTATAATCATATATTATAGTTATACATATATATAATAGTATATTATATTATAGTATAACTATATATTATAGTTATACATATATATAATAGTTATATAATGGTATAATTATACATTACAGTTATACATATATATAATAGTTATATTATAGTATAATTATGTATTATAGTTATACACATATATAATAGTTATATTATAGTATAATCATATATTATAGTTATACATATATATAATAGTATATTATAT